CGATGGCCTCCAACCTACCTACTAGCAATGGCCTCCAACCTACTAGCTATGGCCTGCAACCTACTAGCGGTGGCCTCCATCCGACTCCGCAAGGCTGTTCGAGCCCCTGGACTCGACACGATGACCTCGTTGGGGCTCTGCACAGTTTGCTATGTGCAGTACTTGATCGTTGGCAGTGGTTGGGTGGAATTGACTCCTTTAATCATGGCGTCTTGACCAATTTGTCGATTTCCTCGCTTTTGAAAAATCCGACCGGGCATGCCTTGGGGTCGAAAGCTTGGATTAGCGTGGGAGTCGAGTGGGATTTTGTGGGTGGTGCATTTCTTTTCAAGTGTAAACAGTTGCTGGGCTACAGTCCTGGCTGATTATTCATCAGGTCTGCAAGGCTTTGGGTTTGCCCTCTTCATCTCTTGGGTTGCCACGAAGATCATCGATGGTGAAGGAACGTAGAGAAAAGATGGAGCTGCCTACTGGTCGTACACGACGGAGTCGATACCATATTAGCATGTAATGAGACGAACATACCAAGGGAAGGACAAACCTGTTGCGATTGATCAACGAGACTGCTTTCTTTACAAGGGCATCACTGGCCAAGAGCGTTCCACAAGGGTGTTGTTTCTCTTCGGTGTGTTAATTGAATCTTGTTTGGTCACAGCCGCCTTTATTTAGATTAGCATAGGGACCCCCGTAAAAGGAGATCTGGGGGGAGACAGAGACCCCCCCCCAAAGATATAAAGAATTACTGTATTAAAGATGTTTGGGCAGAGGACCATGGACTTTGTAGACCAAAACCCGTTGGTTGGGGTCTCACAATCCCCACCTTTGCCTTTGATGCAGCCTCTCCAGCCCGTTGCGGCCTTCAAAAGCGGGAAAAGCGGACTCTCGGCCGAGGAAGTCCTCTCGTTTGTAACCCATTTGTTGCTGATCCCGGTGATTCTGAGTACGTGCGCATCGGCCAGCATCTTCAAATTTGCCGTGATGCAGGGCTTGCAAGTCGCCTGGCGGCTGACGTGAAATTTCGGGTCGGATGAAGGAAGATATCTCCGGGTGACAACGCAGGACCCTTGTGATCCTTGTGTCTTGGGTGGAGTCTTGACACATCATTACGGGGTAGTAGACACCGCTGACAGATGCTGCCAAGATCATCACCCGAACATTCACATCCAAACAGGGTTTTACTTGGCACCTTTATTTAGGATGTTCTGGCCGGGATACATCTGAGTTCCAAGCGGGTAGGTCCAAACATTTTTTCAAGTTTGGCACCAGTGCTCCCACCCTGGTGACGTGTCCGCAACTGGTGTTGCCTTGTGGCCACATGTCAATGTGGCCACTTAGAGCATCAGGTGGCCATGCGCTTTTGCCCTGTGGCCCGGCTGACGTAGTTGAACCCGATCTCGATATCCATCGAGCGAGAGTGAGGACATTTGTGGAAAGCGCAACAAAGCCAACTTGGTGGAACAACATTACCTATCCCAGACCATCCACGTATGGAAATATACAGACTAACACATAAGCTTTACAAACCCCATTTGTATCCATGTGTGCCCCAATAATTCCATACAAAACGATGGTCTGGGCTTGTGCTATCACCTTAACTGATCACCTAATGAAAGCTAGGAATGGAATAGACAAGTCCATCCGGGAGTGCATCCTGTCTAAGAGCCTCTGAAACCGCCTAAAACCATCATTCGGGGCATATGGATCTAGATACCTTGAGGACTTCATCGATGCACGTGGTCCGGCGAATCGCTCGGGTGCGGGCTGACTGACCCAAAAGGATCTGGAACACCATGACATGAAGATTCTTGAGCCAAGCATGCTGCTCACAAACCCGCTTCACCACCCAGTTCTTTCTACCCAGCATTCCCAAGAGTGCGCCTGCCTCTCGCCTGCCTCTCTGAGACCAAGAGTTGAAAGGTTTCCCAAAAACTCTGCCCTTTTTGTCCGTTGAATGTCTGGACGAAAATGGCCGGCATGTATATAATTGCTGTACCCCAGAAAAAAGACCTCTAGCATGAGGGAGGATTCATCAGATCAAGACCATTTGTGTCAAAGGGCCGGGATTCCGGCAGATTTGCTAGTGTCAAGGAAGGGAAGATCAATGTCCCAAAAGGGAAGTCACGGGTACAGCCGAGAAAGCCGCTCTCAATCGACCATATGGTTAATTCAAGTCTGTAGACATTTGCATTTGCACATTGAGGGAGGCTCCATGGGCTATGGCCCAATCCCATGATTCTTTTGTGTATATACAACCCCCCCCGAAAGGCCAGTGACCTCTAAACGCACGACATGACCCAGTAAACGCCTCGAACTTCAATTTCGATCCCACACGTACCACGGGTTCGTTTGCGCCCCCCCTCTAGGCCAAAAAACATCGGCAACTGAGAACCAAGGTTCATCATCGGATCAGGTCCTTCCCTCCCTCGTCCCTCCTCCAAGGTGGTCTTATTCTTGGATCCATGGATCTCGATTCCTTTTCAAGTACTCTACACCGCCACCGAGACGCCCCTGATGCATCATTTGGTCAGGATGATGGGTGTCCGGAAGGGGAGGAACCTTGTGGTGTCTCAACACGGGTTGTTGGGCGGATCTTCTACGATGCTTTCTTCCAGCGCGAAACGGTTTGGAGGGACCCGGTGTTCGTTTTTTTGGAAGTTGTTGGTGTCCTTTTTTTTGTTTAGCCGTCCTTGGAACAATGGTGTGCACTGACTTTTCCTGTGGCCTTCAAATTGACTGGGTAGCTTCCACCTTCACATTCCATCGAAGTCACTTAAACATTCCATCGAAGCCACTTCCTCATGCCACAGAAATGTAGTTGAACTGCAGGTATGTAGTGTTCCATGTATTTGAACCGCATATCTGACTCTGACTCTTGTTCTTTGGAACACGATGCAGTTCAACGCGGCAAATGAAGCTGTTCCAAGCCATCCGACGGCGCACGGCTGCACCGAAACAAATCAATCGCTGCACCAGGGCGTTTCAAGTCATCAAATCATCATACCATGGGTACCTTGCAATGACCGAAAGCCCAAAGCACCCGGATCCATCCATCTGAGCCGCCAATGATCTACATTTACTGTCTTTTTGGGGTTTTGAACGTTGGTCATATTTGCCGACATTAATCAATTGGGTTGCAGCTTTGCCAGCTCTGAGGTCAATGTATTTCTTCGTCTTCGACCGGAACACTTTGGAATTGGGGCCCTTGTGTGTCACTTGGGAGTGCTATCGTCTTTTTTCTTTTGCTCGGGATGTTTCAATGGCCCCTGACATCCGCCAGCCAAAAGAGAATCAACAGGAGTTGGATGAGTCACAGATATGCATAATATATATATATATATAGAGCGGCGAGGGCGGGCGCCATTTCGGGCGAGGCCGCACTGTCGTTGGTTCAAAGGCGAGGACGCCTGCAGAAGACTCAGGTGGACTTTCAGCAGAGCTGTGAGTGGAAGAAAGGTGTCAGCGGGTTTCGCTGTCGGAGGGGGAAGAGTGGAGTTTCTTATTGACAAGCTGCTAACTACATTGGTAGCGGAGGTACCGCTCCAAGCTCCGTCGCTGCCAACACCTCTTGACTTGAGCAACGTTGTGCAAAGAATTGTGGGCCTACAGTTGAGTTGGTGGCAGTGCGTGTGTTGACAAAGCATTGTGCAGTGCTTAGCTTGCAGCATTGATACAGGGTTGTCGTTGCGAGCGCTGTGATTGCGCCGTTGCGTGGCCGATGATTGCTGCCACGAAAGGCTTCCCGATGTGCACTGGGGTTCCGGGGCCGTTTGTTTAAGCTGCTTCAAGTTGTGTCTCGCATGGTAAATGAAACATGGGCCCTCCACAGGCCGGTGCCCTGCGCGCCTGCAACGCAAGCTGCGGAAGCTTGCTGATGGGCTGCCTTTTTCACGGTCAAAGCCAAGCCGAAACAGGCCCATGATCATGCCAAGGAGATTCCCTATAGACTGGCGAGGTGTATTCGTAAGGTGGCCTTTCCGCCTGCTGGTGTGTTTGGAGTCTGGCTTTGGCTTGCCTCAAGCACCTGCCAACGTTTTGAACGATTCTTGTGGGTTTGCGTCGACGCAGCCTAAGGAGCGTGCTGCGGGTGGCACTATGGCCGTGAGGTTTCCTTTTGCCAGGAGTGCGGCTGGCAGTTTGAAGGCTGCAGCTCGCCTGAAGGTGGATGTTGGACACATTAAGTTTGCGTGGGCCAGAGTTCTCACGGTGCTTATTGTGTAACTATAGAGCCTGTGGTCATTGAAAATGGGACAGGGCACGTGGGTTTCAGGCCCGGTTCGGTTCAATCGGTCTCTACTTGGAAAGACCTGCTCCAACACGCGCTGCACGAAAAAGGAGACCTGCTGTTGCATACCTGTGGTGGTTTTCAGCCGTGTCATCTAATGAATCTAATGACTCCTTTCATATACGGTATTTAAGGATGCATACCTAGAGAAGTCACTGGTACACACTTTCTTCCGCCTCATCAGCCTCAAGGAAATTCTTCCGCTTGAAGAATTTCTGCCGTTTGAAAAAACTTGCGTTTCAGCCGGTTGCCTATTTCAGGCCTGTGGGATAGATGTGTTCTCTTGGAAGCTCGCCGAAAATGCGCAGGAAGGCCTTCAATCTAATTTTTTGCAAGCCCTCCAAAAAAAGCACTTTAAACACATATGTCATTTGTTTGTGAATTTACTCCGTTTGGTTGGGAAATTACTCCGTTTCAAGAATGACATTTGTTGAAACATCGTCCACAGAGGGTTTCCAACCTGGCGTTTGATAGATGAGTGTTCTCTTAGCTTGAAGCCCTAACTTCTCAACCGCGCAATCTTCACCGAAACCATAAAAATCCAAAAATTTCCGCCTCGCCAGATTTACGCCGTTTTAAACAAACCTAGTTGGAAAGTAAGTTTTTGGAGGTGACCTTAGTAATTTGCACCGTTCCAGTTTCCATAGGTGTTTTTGATTCCGACCCAGTTCCAGGTTCCCCCACCCCACAGGCAGTAGCCGTAGCGAAGGGTACTTGCTCATCTTGGTCCTAAAGGGTACTTGCTCCTCATCTTGAAAAGGAGACGAGTAGCGAGCACTATGCCAGCCCCAGGCACTCCATGGGTCAGGCATATGGACCATTTGGATGGTTTCTGGGGTCTATATGTGGGACATCCATACTATAACTGTTGAGTTTTAGATGCCCAGAACCCGTTGACAATTGGTTTGAAAGGCAAGATGATTTTTGACCCCAAAACAGTCAGTCAGTCATTCAATCATTTTCCAGTGCACGCGTGCTAAAATCTACAACCCGATGAACCAATGAACTGTCTCCACAATCTCATGGCAATCAATGAGGCTCAACGTATCTCGATATAACAAAAGACCTGCGCATTGGAACCCAATGAACATGAACCTGGTGAGCCTGTGTTTGAACACACGAACGTACTTTTGCAATTTATTTTGGGTTGGTTCTTAAGCATTCACACTCAGACTGGCAATCCTCGTTTGGCCATCACAGGCACCCAGACGCCTGTTCTTCTTTCGGGCGTCTTCGGAATCAACAGTTCAAGGCGTTCACACATGACCGCAGCCCCTCAGCGAACGCAAGACTTCTCTCCCCGAACTGCAGGGCACCATACCGGCCCTCGCCATCCATGGATTTACCGCTTTACGTTTTTCCCGCAACCATGTTGGGAGCTGCCCAAAGAAATCTGCAAGCAAACGCAGCAAACCAGCAGTTCCAGCACGCTTGCGTTACCTTTAAAAAACGGACGAACGGACGAAGCTTTTCACTCTTCACAATCCAAAGCACCAAGGGTAGCAACGGAGTCTCCCGGTTTTGGTGCACGTCGGGGTGGGTGTTGTTGTTTCCGGCCGACCTGCGTTGACAGCTTGCTGCTTCCTAAATCGGATAAAACCTGACAAGCAAAGGCGCATGTGAAGCTGGGTTTCCCAAACTCATTCATTTTTTTTGCGTTTGGGGAGACTTTGGGGCGTCCGTTTTCTTGTGTTTCTCTGCATTCGTGGCTCCAATGCTGGTTGCTATGATCAGGCGTGCTGGTGACTGGATTGCTAACCTTGAGAGCAAACCAGTGGTTATCTATCGGGGAAAAAATGGTTTCAGGTGTGGAATCCTCAGTGGACAGCGGGCATTTTCGACCACTTGGACCTCTTCCGTAAGACCGGAGGATTTCTTATATAGTTTGACTTCCTAAATCCATGCTCGGCTGACCCACCAGAATCCCAGAAACAATATTCAATCATGGAACTGGTGCGATCGATGGGTTTTGGTCTGGCCAATTTGGCGCTTGGTCGCCAACCCCATTTCAGCGGAGCAGTGGCCAACGTGCGCTTTGCGCTACTCGTTTTGGCGCATACACATACCTTAATGCTCCCCTATACATCCAGCGATGCAGTTTTCCTCGGATGTAGGAAATGTGACGCAGTTGAACGGCATCACATTTTACTTGACTTTCAAAAACTTTCGTTAAGACACGTTCGTGAAAAAATACATATATGATTTAAATAAGTTACGGCAGCACATTTTTCAAAACAATGCAGTTCAATAGCTAGCCTTTTTTTTTTACCTGGGCTATGCTTTGTAAACATCCATGCGTGCCAATCTCTTCTTGGCAATCGCGAGCTTCAGGCGCAATTTTAACCGCATACCGCTCAGTACGCTGCCCTCCATTTCTGACGATTTCTGGAAACACACATGTGCATTGGAGGGGCCAGAGTGACGCTAGAGTCAGAGTTTTTTTATACTGTACAACTCGTGTTTCTTTAAAGTGTGTGTTAAACAACGATTCGAACAAGGGGGGGGTCACGCTAGAGTCACGGTAGAGTCACGCTACAGTCACGGTAGAGTCACGGTAAAGGGGCGAACGTGTATACTGGCACCTGCTCACTAATTTAAGTCCGATTTAGAAAGGCTCCTCCAAAGGCATGAGCAGTTTGTAGGTACCATCCAGCTCTTTTGCCTTCAGATAGAGATAGACCTCTTTATATGTACAACACCAACGAGTTAAATATAGAAAAACACCTTCAAAATACAATAGCAAATGTTACATAACATAAGTTTTTGATAGTCACATGTTCTTAGCAACTTTAGTGGAGTCATTGATCCGAGAAAACGGAGGCATTGAACCCGTAGGGTTCCTTAAAATCCAACGTCTGAAGCTAGGTGAGCCAATTCTTTATCCTGGTCTCCACCGTGGCCTCGTCCATTTTCATCGACTTACTGCTCCGGGGTCGCCTCTATGCGCTCTTCGAAACGGCGGATGCGGAGTCGTTGGTGTCCAGCGGCCCGGATTGGCAATGGGACGAAACAAAGAAAAACGAAGCATCCGAAAGAAGACACCAGGAGTGAGAAAGGGGTAGTGTTTAGTTCCTAAGTGAGTGGATGTTCTGGTCATCCCGACTACCTCCATGGATCGCACCCCTTTGGAACTGCTTGTTGACGGGACGTTTCGGGGATGGACGGGGTCGAAGGTGCGGATCGGAGTCCAATTCCAGAAAGAGGACGAGAACCGGCGCCATGAGAAATTCTGACAAATGGGGTCAGACTGGAGTTCTTTCCGCAAAAATTGAGAACCTGTTTGTGTTTTATCCACTATCTACAGGAAGGCCTCTTTGAATTCTTGTCAAGGACATCGATTTGGGCTGCGACGAAGCATTTTCACGGTATTTCCGGGCATGTTTTTCGCGTCAAGTTGGCGTGCGTCTGAGCATCCAAGGCTTCCGACGTGTTTTGAGAGGTGCATGTGATGGAGAGGTGCTCTTGGATGGCCAAATGAATGTTGCCCAGGCCAGGGGCGGTGGGGAGCGAAAGCAGCCAGCAAGCACCGAGGGTAGGGTGGGTCAACTGCTGCTCTGCAGAAGATATCGGATATATTGCTATGTTGTTGCTTTAGTATCTCTTTTGTGTTGTTTGTGTTGGTTTGTTTTATACCTTGGCATGATTGATTCTACCTTTTCATGCCGAAAACACGTCACCATGCATAGAGACCATGCTGCTGCTACTTGTATGTGAGATGTTGAAGCTTTGACTGCATCCAGCACTGAGTCCTTCTTTCGCATCCACTTTGCAAGGCTTTCATCATAACTCCATGACTAATAAAGTGGACCTGCTGAGAACTGGTTCCAAAGACAAAGAGCACCTAGACCTAGAAACCCATCTTTCCCAGTGACTGGGAAAAAAAAGGGGAGCACATGCAGGAAAGCGAGTGCCTCAAGCATTTGATCCTCACCAACGTGAGCCTTAAGGGCAGATCCTTCCAACATTTGCTGGTGGACGAGGAGCAGCAGCGCTTCCACGAATTTATCAACACCTCCACGCAGGCCTTTGGCACACCGGAATCCAAAGGCTCGGCCCTGCCCTTGTGCTTGCGCGTGTCCTTCCGTGGATCAGCAGGCGGGCGGTAGGCCGGAAAGGCACATGCCGCGAATGATGGATGGTCTCAAATGCTTCCATTGACAGGATGCGGATTCATTATTCTCAATATCATTTGCTGTATATATATATATATATACTGTATATACATGCATATATAGCAACATATAGCAACACTGCCTTCCAGAAGCAGAAGTCTCAAGAACGAACAATGTGCTCATTAGGAAACTCGCTTTTGCTCGTGGATGCAGGACACCTAGGAAAGCATGTTGAGTTGAGTGTTCACTTGGCTTTGGGTCTGACCACCTTTTTTGAGGAAAAACTGCACCAGCTTTTGGCTGCTCACTTGTGTTTTTCCCCGTTGGTCTGAAGGAGTGATCCTAGATGAGTAAACGGCGGCAGACAGTGTTTGGCAGTCAGGGCTGATGTGGGACCATCGACCAAATCATCAATCATCGAACAAATTGCAGGACAATGTTTGGAAACTGGCCCAGGTTCACAAACTAGGGTTGACACACTAAAACCGGTTCAGAAACTACTGTCCAGAATGAACAAGCTAGAACCACGGACAGCTTCAGAAAGCACCGTTCCGAATGAAATTGCAGCCTCAATGATCTATCTTGCTGTCCTTTTCGCATTGTAAGAGATGATGTGGACTTCTCGGACGTTCCAGTCGTATAAAATATCAAAATCGATTCCAGTCGTTTCAGGGAGATCCTGTTCGAGACTCTTCTTCACAGATCAAACCCAGTCTCATCCCACCCAACTCGTTGGATCCGCGGAGCCGATGATCTCTCCCGAGCGCTTTGCGCGCTTTTCGCGCGAAAGGCATTCAGGTGGGCGCTGATATCTACCACGTGCCGGTGCCGGGACTCTTTGGTTCCAGCACCCCCTACCACTTGATCGCTTTCAAAGAAGATTCTGAACCCCGGCCATTGCCCGAAGCAGAGGAAGATGCTGTTCCTTCCGAGCCTCGAAGTTGCGAAGAGGAATGTGGACTTCCTTAGCAAATAGGACTTCAAATGTCTTGTACCTTCCCACCCCCCTTGATAACAGAACCTTTTGTTGGACACCCACGTAAAATCGGTAAAATCACCGGGGTTGGGTGGGTTGGGTCATGTGTTGGTTGGGTCTTTGTCTTCGTGCTTTGCGGTAAACTCTGCCCGTGTTGGCCAATCCTAAGGAGCTTGTGAACGCCTGGGCAGATGGAACGCGGCCCGACAAGCGTGGCGCACTTGGAGCTTCGAATTCGTCGGTCTCGGGCAGCACTGGGAAGAGTTCAGGCATCGCTATTGAGGAGTATTGCCCCTAGGATTGGTTTTGTGCCAGGAGTCTCTTTGTGGAGTGGATATGGACTATATATACTTTTTGAGTCTCTAGTGTATGCATATGGAGCTTATACTGTTTGAGTCTCTATTGCAAGCATATGGACCTTATACTTTTTGAGTCTTTGAGTCTCTATTGTAAGCATATGGACCTCCGGGCAGGGAGACTTCCTGTGGTTTCTCTCCGTTCTTTTCTTTGCACCTACTCTGACCTGGCAAGAAGGCTTATGAAGCAAGGAAGACCTCATGTGAGTATTTCGCTGTAAACTTGGAGATCTGAAGAGTTCGGTTTGTTTGGTTTCCTGGATCTGGAAGTCATGATAGGGAAGCTATGGGCATGTCACAACTCAACTCTCAGAAGGTGGCTGGGGAAGATTTTGTGTGGGTTTGGAGGGATCTAATATCTTCAGAATTGTATGTGGATCCCTAATTCCTTTGATTTGTGGGTGTGTATAAGAATAAGAAGACCCCCCTGCAGCCACTACATGGTCTAGTTCTTCGCTCTGGGTCTTTGGCCTTGAGTCCCCCATTTTTACTCAGACAGTGACCATTATATGGAGGTTCTTGCGCTAGTCGTATCTATAACTAGTTAAGCTTTTAGTTTGATCAAGGGTACTCACCAGCTCACCGGCGTGGAGCGGCAAAGTTGCAGATCCTTACAGCACAACAGTTCCTCTGCGCAGGCGAAGCACAAAACGGGGGCTCCCGAGCAGGTGCTTTCCTCCAGTGCGCTCTCGTTGTGGTGCCGCGCCACGTTTTCGGACTTGGAGATCACTCTTCGTTGCATGCGCAAAGGAATCCTGGTGTTTTGGTGGTCTGAAGTCGACTTTGCCTGGTGCAGGAGATCGGAGTGGTTGTAAACTTCTTTGTGCAGATTCGTGGCAAGCAGGGCTCTTTGAACTTGGTGGTGGTCTTTGGCGTACTTTGATTTCCGTCGCAGGCGCAGTGAATGGTGAACTTTGATGAACTTTGGACATGTGGCTCCTTACGAAATTTGGGAGAAGTTTTTTGGAGAAGTATCGTGAGAAGGCTTCGCGTTGATTGCATCTGGAGCTTATTTGCGAAGCGCACTGGCAGGGCTGCCCGACGTGGATCATGATGCACAGATTTTGTGGGAGGTGCAGTGCAGCACTTTGTAAACCTCGAAGTGCAGAATGTGTGGCAGGAGCGGCGCTTTGAGAGAGGTGCACGTGCAGATTTTGTGGCAGGCGCAGCGCACTGTGCACCGCGAAGTGCTTTGCTATATGGCTCTCCTATGCTAAGTTCGTCAGTGTATACTGCAAGTACAAACAGACTCAAAGTGGTTGCCAGCAGGGGGGCAGGACAGCCAACAAATATACAGTGTTTGTGTAGGGGTGCGCTTCATCGAGTTGCATACCATGTTCACACACTTGTAATGCATGATAACAAGTCCAGTACAGTCGCAAGTATGTATGTGTATATGTATGCCCATGTCACTGCAGTGCACTTGTGAATATTGCGTGCTCCAAGTTCAGGAAAGCAAAGCGTGAGGCAAATCTGACTAACGCCGCACGAGCAAACAACTTGCCAAAAACATGTGCCATGAATTTGTCAATCCGAGATTTAGATCGCTTTGCCCTGCCCGGGCCAAGGAAACTGCACAAAGGGAAGTTTGGCGGGCATCTCATGCAGTGCAAACAGAACACGAGTGTCACACCATGCGCGTGCGCACACAAGCATTGTCAGCGCCCATCACTGCCACCATCGCGCGTCCAAACGACAACGCTGAAAGCACGTCCGGTGCTGTCATGTGTGTGTGTGTGTGCTCTTTTGTGCTCCTTCATGTGTGCTCTTACATACTCTTGTATGTGTGCTCAGTCATAGCTTTGCTCTCATTTACGTGCTCTCATGCGTGTGCTCTACAATGTGGCAGCTCGTTAATTCACCCTTGTCTTGCTTCCTTTTAAACACTGTTTGGACTCTCTTGCTGTGATAATCATGATACATCCTTGAGTTTTGCCCATATGCAACAGCCAGAAAAAGGATTTAACTGCATGGGGGACCCTCCCAAGTCGTTCAACGTCTCTTGACGTTGGACGCTCCAGAATTCGTCGTCGTTCCCGTTTCGTCCTCCGTCAGGTCCGGAGTTGCAGGAGATCACCATGCTGGTGGATGTCACCACCGAGCTTCAGGATGTGCAACAAGCGCACTTAAACTTCGAACGCTGTGCAGACACCGGCGACTTGCGCTTGGCCTTGCAATCGAGCATGCCCAGCTTGCGTCACTCGGCGGCGAGGTTTTTCTCTGAGTCGTCCGTTGGCAAGTTGGCAAGTTTGTGACAGTAAGAGGTGATCGAGGTCCAGGAGATGACTCGATTCGATCAGGTCGCGACCTCTTTACAAACGGGAAAGAAATGACCGCACCAACTGGGGAAGGAACGGAAGGGTCACGGACGGACGAACGAGGCATAGATCTCAGGCAATCCATGTAATATCATGTAATACAACTATAATATGTAGAATAAGATGCACCGTTCTCTCTGTATGTACACATTGACCCCTCAAAATGTCAAAACACCCAATGCAGGCAAAGATGAAAAAAAAGAACGATATGTTCGGAGTGTTTGGGATATACCTTGCACTTCCCCAGTCTCTCTTTGTCCAGGAAAACTGGTCAAACCCACCGATTGGGAGAAGATCCGCTCCAGCGTGGCACGCTTCGCCGAGAAGGCCTTGCGGGATCCTGACCTCCAACCCAAAGCGCTGCGTCACATGACGGTCCAGTTACCCGGACAAAGTGGTTGGCAGATTGCAGAAGTGGCCACATTGCATCGCATCCAGGGGGCCCAAAAGGTCTGGCTTTACCTGAAAGGCCTGCGTCCCGAAAAAGCGCGCCGGGTGCCCAAGTTGGATGGAATTCAAGAACGTGGCGTGAGAGAGCGCAGGCGAGCTCCTGTTCCAGTGACTTCAGACACTGGATCGGCCACCAGTTCAGATTTTTAAGACGATCCTCCAAGATCGGTGTTTCTGGACGAGTCAGGTGCCTAGAGATATTTGAGCGAACACCGGATCCTTCGGGCGATCTTGGAGGGTCCTCTTTCGTTTGCCTCCGAAGGAGGTTCGCCTGGAACCCTCAGCCGTGGCGTTTGGATGGCGAAAGAGGCGGATCGATCACTTTTGGAAGGAACCGGTCACTGAGCCATTGCAGAATGGGACTGGGTTTTGAGATGCGTTAAGAATGGTTTTGAACTGGTCACCTAGCTACTACAGTATCTACTACAGTATCTGCTACAGTCAATCTATACAACATGTAACATCAAGGAAAGATTCACTGATCCTAGTGATGGTCTTTTTGGATATTTGGGGGGATAGCAGTGGTGGATTCACCTCCACGAGGCTCTCCAACGGCTGAGCCCTAAAGCCGTGACCTCACGGGCAGCCTCTCCGGATGCCGAGGCGACAGCCCGCGGAGGGAGGATGGGGACAGGGTGATGAAAAAGAACACAGTGGACCGGTGCTTCGAGTGATTTGGACGGTGAAGAAGTGGCTGTTTCGAGGCTGTTGAAACGAGCACAGTTTTTTCATGTTTAAACACGGTAGATGAGGTTGACACACTTTGGGTGATCATTCTTGATCTTTTGGTGGAGGTATGAGACGAGAATCTCGGTGGAAATACCTTCAAAGACTCAGGCCCAACTCTGCGGAAGTGAGCTGTTTGATGTGTTTTGGACGCTCCAAGTCATCTTCAACAAGCTCTGTTGGAAGTCTTGGCTGCGAGTGGCGAACGAAGACTCCCGACATGCTTCCCAACCGTGTGTGTGTGTGTATGTGTCACG